TATTTATCCTTCATCCAATGGAATCCCCTCCCTCCGTCTTACACCCTCCTTCCCTCGGTCTAGCTTTGGTGACAACTAAGCGAGGAAGGGAGATAAAAATTAAAAAAAGAAAAACGTTTGTTGTGATCAAGGAAAATCACTGCTAAAATGCATTAACTATCCCTCTGTTTAATGTAGATTATAGAAACTTTTCCTTTATGTTTTTAAAATTGTGTATAAGTAGTTAAAATATACGTTGCACAAATTTTTTTTTTATATATTTGAGATTCTATATATATATATATATCTAAATGTTAGTTAACTATTAAATTTTGCTCTTAAAATTTTCTTTTGACAGAAAATACCCCTCTTTAATATAAAAATCATTTAAACATTCATATGGGCAAGAAAACTAATTACGTATGCATAAAAATAATTTTAATACACATATTTTCAAACTCTCAAATATGGTATAAAATTATTTAAATTTGATTATATTATAAAAGTTTATAATTTTAATTTTTCATCAGACTTATTGAAACTTATTTATTTATCTTTCTTTTAAATGGTTAAAAATATTCAAACACATATTTGTTCATCATATGGTACAAATGATATAAGTTTAAGAAATTACATAAATCATTTAATTCTATAATTGAAAATTTTTAAATAAATTTTTTGTTACAAAAATTTATAAATATATTTAGTCAATTATATATTTATTTAAAAATTAAAAATAAAATTCAGGAAAATCAAATTATTTGCAATCACATTCTTTAGGTGGGGCTTATGATGGATGAACCAAGCAGATTTATGGTTTTTGAGCTCTCCAATTTTTGATTTGTTGTCTTCAACAATAAGCTCTGATATCTGCTAACTTAATAAATTTATTCAGTAATTTAGATGTTTATATTACTAGATATTTCAATTTAAACATACTATAAACTCACAAAAGAAACACACACACACACATGTTCTTCACCAACCTACTTTCTCCTGAGTATCTTTCAAGGGTGTCCTTTGCGGGCGGGAATAGGTTTTTTAGTCGAGCCGGAGGAAAGAGGAGTTTTGATGATCATCGAGTAAGTAATAGAGTTGCTTCTCAGGGCATGGATATGGAGGATTTGAGTGGTTTTTTCAAGTACGGAATAGATAGTGCCATGTCTGAAGAGGCTTCTACATATTTTACTTGATCATCTCTGGTTTTGCTTTCTTCTTCCATTTACACATTACTGTTGATTTCCTTCCATTTCTCTCCTTGTCTCATAATAAGGTTGGTTCATTCTGCATGCTCCTGTTTAGGAAAGGTGGTTATCCTGGTTCCTAGTCCTTGCTTCCGCTAGGTTCCAAAGGCTTCTTAGAAAGTGCGAGCTCCGCATATCCCTTTATTGGGCTGCTGGGCTTTGATAATCAATGGACCTTTTTTTTCCTTTGTTCCTAAGACTATTTGCTATCTCAACCAATACCTTATTAGTTGATTTGGTGTTTTTAACACTCTATGTACCTTGGGCCGTAAGCTTCACTTGAATTAACTTACTAATTAAAAGGACAACGAGGTACAAGTTAAGCCACCCTCGTTGTCCTTACACACCGCCATGGGTCCATGGTCAGATATCTCAGGGGCAAAATGGTTCCCAAATTTCAGTTCTATCAATGGGGGGATGGGATGGAACTCAGTTCGATCATTTTTCATGGAACTAAGTTCCACGGGAAAGTGAGATCCACAGTACTAGACACACCAAAATATGAATTCCACCTCCCTCCCTCCAATTCCTTACCACCAAACGAGGCATTAAGAAACCCCGAATGTGTAGCTCAATTTTAGTTGAGAGTTAATTCCTCTCAAGATAAGTAACTAACAAGTCAACCTAGATCACCAATCACCTAAAAGGCATTGAGGCAATTGCACAAGCACCTCACAAGCAATCTTATCAAAACCATAAGCAATTGAAAAAGAAGAATTCAATTTCAGCACATAACTATCGAGTGAATCACAATCAAAATTAGTTTAAAAACCTTGAATCACAAATGTCTCAATTGAAACAACTCTTTCTCAGTTACAATTACAAACTCACACCAGAATTCAGATAACTACAACTAGAGAAGAGGAGATCAAGAGTAGAGAAAACAACTCCCTTATGAAGAACATAGGGGAGTTGTTTGGGATTTGCAATTGAGATAGGTCACCCAAGGATTGAGATTGGATCTCAACCTAAACCTCCAAACAAGGCCACTTGCTAAATAAGTCTTCTTTCCCCGTTTTTCCTTATGGATAAAATACACAAACCACTATGCTATTTTATTTAAATTACCTAATTCTTTTATTATGAAAACATATATGAATCTTCATTGAAATTAAAAGATGTAAGGTGCACACACCCTCTTTATATATTTAAAACTTTATTTCCATTCATTCAATAGTAAGTTTAACTCTTAAACTTTTATTTTGATCAAAATGCCCCCTTGATATAAAAATTATTTAAACATTTATATCTGTTAAAAAATAATTTTCATACATCGGAAAAATAATTTTCATACATATATTATCAAATATGTTAACATGTTATAAAATTTCTTAATTTTGACTATGTTATAAAGTTTTATCATTGTAATTTTTCATCACTTATTTCTTTAAATTTTTTTAAATGACTGACGAAAATATTTCTCCCCTAAAAAAATATTTATTTAAATTTTTTCTTTTTTACGTATAGTCGTTTTATGCTTTAAATGATAAAGTTCTCCTTTATTATACACACACATATGTATTTTCTTATATTTATTTTTATATTTTTAATTTTCCTCACCTTTTTTTTTTTCAAATTTATATTGACTTCAGATTTTACCCGATTTTTCTCTTTAGTTTCGGCTCGCTCCTTTACCCGGTGTGTGTGTGTGTTTGGTCACTTCTTCCCTGTCATATTTGGCTTGTTAATTGATTGATGATTCAATGATATTTTTGCGTTTCCAGCTCTTCCCTGTCATATACTTCACTTTTTGGCTTGTTAATTGATTGATGATTCAATGATATTTTTGCGTTTCCAGCTTGGGTCTTAACAAATCCCAACAAAACACTTTTAATCATATAATTAATTATAATAAAACCGCCTTTATTATTCGCCACGCTGGCTCTTTTCTGCTTCTGCTCTCTGTAATTTCTGTGCTCTTCCTCTGTTTTTGCTTTCATTTCTCTCTTCAATCACTAAAACCTTTTGATGTTTTTGTGTTCTTTCCCAAAAAAAAAAAGATTTAGAGTTTTGTCTTCTGTTTCAAAGTTTGTCCATTGAAGGAGCCTGTATTTTTTAAACTTTGATTTGTGTTAATTTGAATTATTTTCTACTTTAATTTTGGTTGATCATCGTTATCGTTGTTTATAGAAAACCCAAAAAAAGTTTGTGCTTAAATTTTCTTTTCTCCTTAATCGTTGTTCTCGTAGTCCCCTTATCTTAAAAAATAAAAATAAAAACAAAAAAACAAAACAAAAAGAGGCCTTTATATCCAAGGCATCTTTTGAGAGGTGAGTATTTGTACTCCATTATACTTATGAATTATATTTATATCTTTTTTTTAATACATGTATATATGTGCGTAACACACATATTGTCTCTTAAGCTTTCTTTAACTTATTTCTATTTTTCAGATCTTAGTTGGTCACCTGAAGCCTGCTTGACAATTTTGGATTCCTGTTAATTTCCAGGTTAGTATGTGTATAGTTTTAATTGTAGTATTATTTATAAAAATTTTTACAGCTACTATCAACTCAGGTGCGGGTTATGTATACTAAATATTTAATCTCCTAAACATCTTCAGTTTTATTTATCAAGTCTTGATTGGTTACATGAAACTTACTTACAGATTTGTGATTTTTGTTGTCATTTTAGACGAAAATAGAAAGGAAATTGAGGGGAAAAAAAGAAGATTGCCATTACCTGTTTTTTTTTAACAGCTTATTTACTTTAATTATAAGTTAGGGAAGGCTTTTGTGCTTGAGTATTCAAATAAAGTTTTAAATTAGGTTTATTATCCGTAATACTGCATCTCCCTATAGTTTTACTACACCGGTGATTATCTTCAAATAAAGCTAATTCAATTTCAGTGCTGCTTACCGTTTGGACCATCAAAATAAATATGGTCCATGTTTAATATATATTATTTTAACTATTTTTTATTTTAATAAATGTATGATTTTAAATTAAATAATCTTTTAATCCTCGTTTTGTTAAAAAATCAATTTATTGTTTGAAAATTTACCTTTAAATATATGAAGTTAACTTGGAAATATTAAATTATTATTATTTTTATATGAATTTACGTGTAAATTTAAGAAGTTAAATTTTGCTTGTAAACGTGCTATGTTTCAATTTTGTAAATTATAAATTTACTATTTTATTAAAAATATTTTTGACCATGCAGCGGTTGTCGGTGGTTGGTCAGCGCGATTTTTTTTTTTTTTAAAACCATTGTCACCGGAAGTTAAAGCCAAGGGATATGTGCGACATTTTACATCAAGTTTCAAGAAATTTGAAAATATCTTGTATATTATTTGCTGGGTTCAAATCTTTTTTTCTGCCTAATCGTTGTTCTCATAGACTCATAATTGCTTTTCTTTAAAAAGAAAAAAAAGAAAAAAAGCTTTTACAAGAAAACAATTCAAGCGGTAACGCACATAGAAATCTTCGAGAGGTAAGAATTTGTATTCCATGATAGTTATGAATTATGTTTGCATCTTCTTTTATGAACGTATACAAACATACATGCGTATATGCATTGTCTCTTAAACTTCCTTTAACTTATTTTTATTTATTAGACTTTTGATATATTACATGCATAATATTCCTTTTGATGTAGACTTTCGTGAGAATTTAAAAGCAGACCAATCATATTGTAAAACTCACTACACGCATCACCACGAAAAGAATTATTTTTCTTGTATGCTATCTAGAATATGGTAGATGTAGTTGAAACATTTATAATAGTAGCGTAGCCAACAGTCCCTAATTGCATCGCATATCCGCGCATGTTAGATGGCGGCAATAGGAGAGGGCGTGGCCACCCATGTCGCGGAATCATTGGTAGATAAAGCAATGAAGGAACTCAAATACTTGTGTTGTTACAAGACATATGTCGATGACTTTGAAGAGGAGAAGAAAAGTCTGAGTGCAAGAAAAGAAACAGTGCTTAAAGATATTGAAGATGCCAAGCACCGAAATGAGAATCAGGTCGAGGATGAAGTCGAACTGTGGCTAGACAGAGCCAAAGATCTCATAGAAGAAGACACAAAAGGAAAGAAGAAATGGTTTGGTTTGGTCACTAATTGCTTTTGGCAGTACAAGCGAGGCAAGGAGCTGCAAGGGAAGATGCAAACGATTAAACGACTGATGGAACAGAGTAACTTCGCTCGTGTTGCTCGTTCAACTGGGCTTCCAGGCATCGAGTTCTATTCTTCTTCAAATTTTATGACTTTTGAGGATAGAAAGTTGATCTCTGAGAAGCTGAAGGAGGCATTGAAAGATGACAACAAGTTTGTGATTGGATTGCATGGGCTTGGCGGAACAGGGAAAACCACAATGGCAATAGAAGTAGGTAAAGATGTTGCCGGCTCAAAGTTGTTTGATAAAGTCATCTTCAGTGTTGTCTCAAAGGATGTAAGCTTGAAAAAGATTCGGGGAAACATTGCAAAACACTTGGATTTTCCTTTAACGGAGGGAATGGATGAATCTGAGCAAGCACAAGAATTGTGGAAAAGAATAGCAGAAGGTGGAGAAAAGGTACTTATAATACTAGATGACGTGTGGGAAAAGCTTACACCGCGAGATATAGGGATTCCTCTGGGCCGCCATGGCAAGGGTCATTGTGCTGTTTTGCTAACCACACGTGATTGGAGAGTTTGTAGAGATATGGGTTGCCATCAGATTATTGAACTTAAGGTCTTAAATGAAGAGGATGCAGTTAATCTTTTCCTATCTTATGCTGGCATGAGCATAGATGGTGCTTCCAATGGTTTTAAGTGTGTGGCTAGAGGTATTGTGAAGGAGTGTGGAAGTTTACCAGTTGCAATTGTAGCAGTTGCAAGTGCACTAAAGTCTAGGCCTTTAGCAGAATGGCAGGATGGTTTGAAAAGATTGCAGAGTCATGAGCAAATTCGTGATATTAAAGAAGATTTAAAACATGCTTATAATTCTTTGAGATTAAGCTATGATAATCTCAAGAATGAAAAGGCCAAAAAACTCTTTCTCCTATGCTCTCTCTTCCCTGAAGATTATGAAATACCTATAGAACTTTTAACTAGAATTGCTATAGGTCTTGGGCTTTGTGGAGAAGCTAACAAATACTCTGTTGCAAGGAGTCATTTCACTCCAATTAAAAATGTGCTCATAGATTCTTGTTTATTATTAAAGGCTGAGAATGAGTGTGTCAAGATGCATGACTTGGTTCGGGAAGTAGCTTTATGGATTGGAAACAAACAAGTTCAAGTAGCCATGGCTTCCAACACAACTTTAATGGAGAACATCCAATATTCATCATGGAACATAACTGACCTTCCAAACCATTTTGAGGGTCGAAACCTTGAGGTTCTTTTAGTTTGGATAAACAATACAAATTCTCTTCAAGTCAAAGTTTCAAATACTATCTTTGAAGAGATGGTGAATCTTAAAATTTTGGCTTTAATAAGTTCGTCAACATTGGAAATTTCAGCTACATCCTTATTTCAACCACCTTTGTCACTGGCAAATATTCGAACTTTAGCCATAAAAAAGTTTGAGTCATTAGGAGATATATCTATTTTGGCAAATCTAAAAAACCTTGAGAGCCTTGAATTGAACAAATGTTCAATTATTGAATTGCCAAAAGAAATTGAAGAATGTCAAAAATTGAGATTGTTGGAGATGGTAGGATGTTCTTTTACGGGAAGAAATAATCCTTTTGAAGTGATTGGAAATTGCTCACAATTAGAGGAGTTGTATTACGTTTCAAATCGTGTGGACGGTTATTGCGGGCAAATCACAACACTTCCTACATTGCAAAAGTATCATATAAAGGGTTGGGATGGTTTTTATTTTTATGAAGTGGATTTTTCATTATCTAGATATTTTGATTCACAGCACTTAAGAGTAGACTTCTCCAATGAAATATTTAAACTCCTGGTGGCAAGAACAGAAGTTTTGATGTTAGGAGGAGATTACTACAATAGAGGATGGACAAATATTATTCCTGACATATTATCTGTGGAGGATGACAACATGAAAGATCAATTAACTAGGCTCTCTTTGGAATCTATGAATGAGATAAAGTGCCTAATCCATACCGAGAATCTCCGACCTGGTGTGGCTATCTTTTCCAAGTTGGTTGCACTGCAGCTTCATTCTGTGGCTGTGAGAGAACCATGCCATGGGCCTTATCCTGTCGACTTTTTGAAGCAATTGAAGGAGTTGCATTTATCTGAATGTGAACAATTGGAAGGCACGTTATTTGATGGCAAGCTAGAGCTGTGTAATCTTAGGTCAATATATTTATATCATTGTTCAATGTCATGTCTTTTTCATGCATCCACAGCACAGAGTCTAAAGCAGTTGGAAACATTGGAAATTAGAAGATGTTTGAAGTTGAAATACATAGTAGCAGGGACTATGGATGATCAGGATCCTAATCAAAAGAGTCATGACTCAATGTTGCCAAAATTGAAATATCTCACGGTCTACTATTGTGCTGAATTAGAATTTATATTGCCAATATGCTTTTGTGAAGACCTTCCACTACTAGAAAGTATGTACATTCAAGATTGTGAGAAACTGAAATACGTATTTGGGCAATATCCAAAGCATAGAGATTTGCACCAAATGGGGAAAGAAGCCATCCTCCAGTTGCTAGAAGTATTGGACATTGATGGGGTACCGAATTTCATCAACATATATGTAGAATGTTATCTCCCACAGCCTTGTTCTGATGAAGTTCAAAAGTCATCTCCAAGTGCAAAAGCAGACGGCAGTAGCAATCTATCAAGGGGTCATCTATGTTGTTTTTGGGCAAAATCAAAAGCCTCAACTGTACGTCACACTTCTGCTCCCATGGACACTCAATCAAACCATAATCAGGTAATATCTGTTACTCTATTTTGTTTTAAATCTTTATTTGTAATAATGTATGAATCACCCAAATATGCTTTGCTAAACTTCTTGTATGATGAGAATATCAATTTGTCTTCAGTAACAAAATTAATTCTGCATTTCTCTCTGTTTTTTTTTCCATCTGATTGAGACACTAGGCAAGGTTGGCAAAAACCAAATAATTCGCTCAAATATGTGCTGCAAATTACTTGCACCTTTTTTTTTTTGGCACGTTATATTTACACTGCTTTCGGTCTTCATCTGTACGCTGCCTGTCCAAAAATTTGTCTGTTTATAAATTACTGATTGTAGAAGAACTTAATTTTGATGGGAAAATTAGGGGGAAGGACCCAGAAAAGTAACATTTACTAAAAAAAGATCTGATTATAAGCAACAGATGCTAAAATATAAATTTAAAATATAATATATTATCCCTAAGTCCCTGACAATCCTTAATTTAAACTGAAATTTTTAATAATCCTTTTCTCATCAATATTTGAAACGAAATTTATTAAAATCAGTCAAAATCATTTATATTAATCTATCTAAAATATCTTATATATCCAAATACACAATGAAATAAAATCATTCATCCACATGAATTGTGCTGTCAATAGTTAATTTTTAAGTTGCAATTGAAAGCCCTCTTTTTCCCCCCCAAATATCTCTTATTTTTTATAAATCGTTTTACCATATTTTTTTTATATACGTTTAAATTTAAATAGATATATTTTAATTAATTTCAATAAATAAAATTAGAACTTTTATAAATATTTTTACCAATTTCAATTTTTGAAAATAGAAAATAATTAATTAAATAACATTATTAATATTTATTTTTATCTAAAATTTTCCATTCTCTTAATTTTAAAAAGGAGAATCCCAAAAAGTTACCTTTGCATTTTAAAATTCTAAATCGGTTGTGTTTGCTACACTTTAATAGCAATTGATAACATTTGAAAAGTAAATGACAACACATTTTTGTAGTCATTTCTGATTTGAGATTTTCAAATTTTAGAGATATTTTTTAGAATTTTTTCATGTTTAATTTTTTTATTACCATTTACTTTAATACGAACATATCAAGATCGATAAAAAACAAAACAAAAAGATTATGAAAATTGATAACAAATAAGAAATAGTGTGCGGATAAAAATTATAGCTATGAAAAACTTTATGAGTGATATTTGATCAATTTGATTTCTACATTATTTTTATTCCACCATATGTCTCCCTCAAAAATCATATGAAACCAATTTATGGAGTCCATTTCTTCTTCTGATTCGTTGATTTATGTTGAAAGTGATACAATTTTACTTTAATCCAATATTGTTAAAATATGAAATTTGTTGTTATGTATTATAGGAGTTGACCCCTAAAACACGCAGCCTATGTGTGATGTGGTTAGAGAAAATTGAAGAATTTAGTTAGGAGCAGTTTAGTATTTTTGAAATTACAGTTTTATATTTGATCCTTATAAATGATTACAAATTTTAATATCTCTTCAATAAATATTATTTTTTTGTAGGTTGTTCTCTTGAATTTTCCCCAATTTGTTTATATATAGTAGATCTTTCTTGTAATATTAAAAAAGTTTGAACCTTAAACCTGTACCATAACTTATACCATTCGTTTTTAATTTATGAAAGACGAAGAATCCTCACATGTTTGTATGGAATGCAGGCATTAAAGGTGAAATATGTTGTCAACAGAGCTCATGGTCTTTTCACGCTACCATTATACCCATATAGAAGTTTGAGAAGCATAGAGATAAATGGATTTTCTACGTTAAAGTCACTCTTTACGATATCCATTGCCTCATCATTGAAATTGCTGGAGTGGTTGATAGTTGGAAATTGCGATGCACTAGAGCACATAGTAACAGATGAGGAGCATGGTCATGATCGTGGGAATGTTAACTCTATTTTCCCAAACTTACGGAAGGTTCGTGTCTATGGCTGTAGCCACTTGGAATACCTTTTCCCAGCTTTTTATTCAAAAGACTTCAAGCATTTAGAATCTGTGGACATCACCAAGGCTGGAATGTTGACACATGTCTTTGGAGAATGCCGTGCTGATGAGAATCTCAATGTTCAGGTTGATATTAATCTCCCAGCTCTGAAATGGCTAGACCTTGATGATTTACCAAATATGGTTGGCATTTGTGCTAAAAACTATTCTGTGAAGGAACTATATCTAGAAGACATTACGTTGAATGAATGCCCACGTTTGAAAACTTTGATGGACTTATTGGTTGATGGGCATAAAAGACAAGAAGATTTGTCAAGGAGAAAGGTAAACCTCCTTCCGACTTCTTTTTCCAGTTAATTTATGATTGATCAACTAAGAAAATCATTAATACTAATACATCTTAATGATACTCGCAGGCATTAACTCTTGAGAAGAAAGGTAAACCACTATCCAACACGCAAGAATTGCCCAAGTTAGAGGATATTGGTGTGGAACCTATTATTTACATGAGCTTTCAAAATCTTTCCGAGCTAACAATCCAGGGATGCAAGCATTTGAAATTTATCTTTTATGCATCTACCTCCAGATGGCTGCAAAAACTGAAGAAGTTACGGGTATCTGAGTGTGAAGAGCTAGTGAGCATTATGGAGGATGAAGAGAATCACAAAAATCCTATGACTCCGCATCAAGTATGTTTCCCAGAGCTACGCGGAATTACAGTGGCGCATTGCATAAGTTTGAAATGCTTGTTCCCTCTGTCATGTGGTAAGCTTCCACGACTCTGGTATGTGGATATAGAAGATGCCCCTCAGCTTGAGCAAGTAGTTGGATGGAAGCAGGGAGTGGGACAGAAGCTGGTCATGGAGGATGTGCTTCCAAAACTAAGTGTAGTAAGACTAGTAAACCTGCCGACTCTTCATACTATCTGTCAAGGGATTGATTTTCATAGTGTTAAAATCCGTCATGTGCGTCAATGTCCTGCTATTTCTTTATCAACTTCTTATGATAGCCGCGATGAACGTAAGTATTTACATAGGTAATTCACTACAACTACTAATTGCTACAATTTGTTCTCATAATAATGTAATTGTTTTATTTTGGCAGTGTATGCATTACGAGATCAACTACCGTCTGTTGAGGGCTACGCCTACTCCTTCCACCCAATGCATCTTTCTTGCTGGGGTCTTGCGGTTAGTATCAAACTTAATAAAATGGCTTAATCAGGTTAGAGAGATGAAAAAAACAGGCAGATAAGAAATGATAATATTTACACCAAGATTAACTAAAAATAAAATTGACCAATACATGAATAAAAATTTCCCTTGCTACTAATATTTTAGCAGAAATCCCATACTTCACCAATTTTTCCTATTTAGTGGGCTAAGATTACAATCTTTATTAATGACTTCAACTCACTATTTTCTTTACACCTTATTCTAAGGAATTAGAGCCAACTCTAGAGAGAGACTTGACAATAGTCAATAACAGAGTAAGCGTGTGTGCTACCAAGCCAACACATCCTCTCTTACATATTATTCTTCCTTTATTCCAAATTTTAGCCTGATTTAATTCGTAAAGCTTAATGATCAGAGTTCAACTCATTTCATCTTTTCTTATATGTTTTGTGATTGTTCAGAATCTTGGGGAATCTGAGCGTGAAGAGGCATCCGAGGTTATTGAAGAAGACCCCATAGTTTCACCAAAATCGCCAGAGGTACACGCATTATGCTTTTGTTGAGAAATTACAGAGAAAGCGTTAATAACAATAACTACAAATTTTGGCATAAATTGACCATTACATGAATAAAAATTTCGCTCGCTATTGATTTTGGCGGAAATTCCAATCAACATCCACCGCTTTTTCCTATTTTGTGGGTTAAGCTAAGATTACAATTTTGTGAATAATTAATTTGCATGTCCTTATAATTTCAAACAATTTTTAATCAGGTCATTATATTTTTATACTTCATTTTATTTAGGTCCTTGCAGTTTGTTCTCTTTTCATCGGGTGCTTATAATTTCACATAATTTTACCAGGTCCTTGTATTTTTTTAATTTGATTAATTAATTTAGCTTAAATTAATTAAATAAATAATATTAAAATATAATTTATTAATAATAAATTTAAATTAATTTTTATTTAATTATGAAAATAATTAAATTTAATAGTTATTAACTGATTCGAATAATAAATTATAAACTAGTTTCAATTAGATTACGATTTTAGAAATTTTTATTATTATAATTCAAATTTTATAGTTACAATAATAAATAAAAATATTATTATAAAATGAATATGGATATATGTTTAATTCAAAAGTTTAAAAGAAAAATAAAATAAAATAATTACCAAAGAATATTGTTCGAACGTATAGAATAAAGAATAAAAAATTTCAGGGGCATGACTGAATATCAAATGAAACTAAAAGAACTTGATAAAAAGATTTAAAAAAAAATACAAGAGCCTAAACAAAAACAAGTAAAAGTATAAGGACTTGATAACAAGAAAAAAATTATATGAACATAATTAAAAATTAGCTGAAATTATAAGGATCTGTATATTAACTATTCCTTTTTTTAATAATGACTTCAACTCACTATTTTGTTTGATATCATTATTATGTCGAATTAGAGGAAGCCCTAGAGAGAGACCTGACAATAGTCAATATAGTAGTGTGTGTTACCAAGCCAACACATTCTTACATATTTTCTTATTCCTTTGTTCCAAATTTTAGTTTGATTTGTAAAGTAAAGTTCTTAACAACTCATTTCTCAACAAAATAATTTCATTTCTATTTTCATTTAACGACTCTCAGTTTTGTAGCAATGCAGAAGTGGAAAGGGTTTAATAGTAATGATTTTGTTTTTAATTTATATAAGACTCTCAGTTTGTAGCAATGCAGAAGTGGAAAGGGTTTAATAGTAATGATTTTGTTTTTAATTTATATAAGAGTTTGCAGGAGCATATATGATGCATCTTTAGGAATCAAAGTTAAAAAAATTAGTTAAGTTGGTTAATTGTAACAAATATGTGTTGGCTTCTCAAAGCTACCATCTTTAGTCATGGGCATTGAAGTTGTCCCTTGGTGTTGAGAAACTTTATGATCAATGGAGCTATTTTAGAAAAAGCATTATAAATTTAAGAGATAAGATGGATTTAGGTCGTATGTTTAGGACCAAATCCAATCTTCAACTAGCTTTTATATTAAGGACCGGAGGTAATAATATATATCTTCTATTCTTTTTCAGATTAAAAGAAAGCAATCATCACAAGCAGATATTGGACAAGACTCAACAACAATGCCCCAGCAGGATGATGATTCATCAAATTCTGAAAATGTAAGCATTTTATAATTTTCCATAACTAAGAAAAGTTAAGAAATTAACTAACCATTTCTCTCTTACCTTATCGTCTTATTCATTTGTTCCCAATAGATCAAGTTTTTTTTTAAAAAAACTGTTGTGTGCTAATTTAGATCTATTATGGTTATTAACGCCATCAAAACTCAATTTATCTTCTTTTTATATCTTTTTGTTGGCATTTAGAGTGATAAAGTGGCCAAGGAAATTGCTAAAAAAGACTTCACAAAAAGTAATTTGCCAAATTTGACAGATGTATGTACATTACATTATTCTATTATAACAATGACTCAGACCAACAAACACTCTCTTTTAATTAATATATCATATGCTTCATAATTATTTTAACTTTATTAGTAACCTATTCATATTTTATGAGTTAGACAGAATAACAATGCATGAACAAGTGGAATTGTTGAAGAAAAACTCTACAATTCCATCATCTAATTCAAACATGACCTGCTATACATTCTAATGTCCTACAAAATGCTGATGATCTACAGAAGATCATTTTGTATGCAATGTTAGTGTCATGGAAAAATTAAATTTACATATAATTTAATTTGGTGTTGTGCAGAATCTCAAAGAAACTTTTGGAGAAGGTCCTTCATCAGAGAGATATGACAAACCAAGTTCATCAACTTATTCAAAACCAAAAATTGAAAAATCTTACACATCAGCTCCTTCTAAGGTAAGCTTGTTGCATTCATTTTAATTAGCTTTAAATAAATGTCTTGTTATTTATTCATTCCTTGTCTTAGGAGTTATGTGGAAAGGAATCAATGGGTGATGAACAAGCACTTGGAGAAAGTAGAAGTTCCAATGAAGCTCCTCAAAGAGTTGATGAACCTACCAATGAATTCCCTTCCAAAGAAAAATCAAAAGAAATGGCATTGATGATTCCACCATCTATTACTGGAAGGACATCTCCACCGGTAAATATTTGGTTTTTAATATATTTGCACTGTCAATACATTATTGATTTTCATTCAAATTAATCTTTCTATTTCTAATCTTATATGCTCTTAGATTTCTTCTACCTCTTCTCCCAAAATACCTCATTTAGCAACTTTAGCTACTCCCGAGGAAATGGAATCAGGCAGCTCAACTGCTACTGATCAACCTGCACCAGTAAGCCTTCATTTTGTTGAATCAGTTTTGTGATGTAATTTTATTCTTTAAAACTGTCATACACTAATGCTAGCATAGAAAAATTTGAAAATCAACAGGTACCCATATGTATTAGTATACAATGCTTTTCTTGTGCTTCTGCACGTTGCAGAGGACACATTGTTTTTGTGACAATATTCAAACGGTAAAATTAATACTTGGCATTTCATTTGTTTCAGGCTCAAATTATGGTCAGTCAAAGAGAGACCACCATTGATGATGATCTTATTAGATTATTTGAAATAATGAAGGATGGTTCTAGGTTGGAAGTTGGCCAACCTTATACTTCCAAAATTACTACTTTTGAAGATGACAGGGTGGCTATGGCCTTTGCTGACATAGAATCCTCATTGAAAATGGATCTCCATCAGATAGCTAACTCAGAAGAATACACTCATCCCCTTAAGAATGCACTCAACTTCTTGTCCACTCATTTTTCTGAAGAAGAACATTCCTCTCACGGCCTTATTAGAGGCAAAATAGACTCTCTCCATCAAGAAATCCAAAGAATTCTCTCATCCTTCAAGCAAGCTTATGATAACCTTGACACGTTCACCAAGCTAAAAGAAAAAGAGAAGTGGATTGATGAACAATATTCTGAAAGGGAGGAAGCAGCTAGAACTCTTGTGTCTGAAATCCACAATACTAAGGATTATATGACTGAACTGAAGGAGCAAATCTCTAGATTGCAGGCTGAATTGAAAAGCAAAGAGAAAGAATTTCAAGACTGTGAAATCAAATTGTCATCTCTTCAAAGGCAAAAGAAGGAATGTGTTTTGGACACCATAGGGTTCATGGAAGAGTACGAGGCTGTGAGGAAAGACAAGGCCTATGTAGTGGATGGCCAAACAAAAGCAGGCCAAGAATTAAAAGAGTTGGAAAATCAATGGCCTTCTTGCGTGGCTAATTTGAGGAAAACTACACTTTTGTTGGGAATGATTCTTAAGCAGAAGCTTTGATTGGTGGGGATTGTTTATGTAAATAACACAAAAATAGCATTAAAATACAAATTTCTAGAGCGTCGGCAAAGTACTTTTCAATGTATTGATCAGATTACCATATGTGTTCAGGTTGGGCGCGTTACCATTGTGGGTGATTTTCACTTAGTTCAGAGTGTGGGTTGATTTAGCACTTGAGGAAGAGTCATTATCATGTACACTGATTATGTTAAAAGTAAAACTAGAATTTGGACCACATCTTGGTGCCTTAAATGATTCAGAGTAGGGAGCCTAATTCAGTATTGATATATTGTGTACAGAAAGGAAAACTAACGCAACTATGAAAAGTATGCAAAAGAGATGACTTTGAATGGAGAAAGAAAGTATAGATATTAATATTTTCATTATTTATATTGACAAGAATCTCTGGGCAGAAGTAATGGGAGAACAAATGATTATAATCGCAAAGATTTGTGGTCTCATATAATTAGGTTTTTTTCACACAAACAAGAGTCAAATGTTTGAACTTCCTAAAAACATATGCTCTGACAGCTCTGTAAACGCACAAGGCCAAGAGGTGCAAGCCAAGACCCACGCAAATTCACATAATTAATACAGAGTATCCATTTCAGAGCACAATCCTTATATATTTATATTCAGGACAGCATAGACAATGATTTATGTGATTTTGGGCTAAATAACTTCTACATTTACAAGAGCTGCTCTGCCAGACTCTGCCACCAATGGATTCTGCTATGTCTCTGTCAATTTCAGCTCTAAAGTCTGAAGCATTTGGCGTCCACGCAGCTCAAATGCTTCCCCTTGCAGCTTCTTGTTGCCCATTGGCTTTAATCTTGAGGAGGCTATTAGTCTGTCAAATTTACTTCTTGCTTTGGAGCCTAGCGTCCCCTGCCTCCAAGAGAACTAAACCTTAAAGCTTGGCAGATAAATTTAGGCTCTGGGGGAGGCTTACTAGTTGCATTTAACTTTGTTTTAAGTTATAACAATGAGTAAGGGAAAGCAATACTGGTGATATAGGTTTCACAATTTTACTTTAAAACCACCGGCACCTTGAACTCATGGTGTAGGGAGAGAACTTGTGTTACTTTCAAGATTCTCTTTCTTTAACTATAAGGTAGAACAAAAATGTGTGCTATAGATCATTAATGATATATAAAATCTGCTTAAAATGAATGGTAAAAAATCCCTGTTTGAAATTTTTATTACCTAGAAGGACCTAAAATTGTGCAAGTACAAATATGATCGGTGAGTGTAACATATCATCTGTTGTGTGTAATTACACACAGTGGATGATATGTTGGGCATAACGGATGATATGTTATACTCAAGGATTATATTTGTACTTGCACAATTTCATGTCCTTCTGACCAATTAAAATTTCAAATAGGGATTTTTTTTACTAATTTTTTCTAAAATGAATGCGTAAATCTGATTTCTTCAGCTATCCTAGGCTATGTTGTACACTTTTTAATATTAATGGACAGCCAAAAGTATCATCAACAGTTTGGGCAGTACCTGAAGCCAAAAACTGAATCAGATTGGTGTAATAAATTAGGAGGGCAGACTTGCACAGCATTTAACTAACTGCGGTTTCAAGTGTAGCCTTTAATGTAGAGACTCCATTTCCAAACAGATTTTGATCCCTAAGGTCCGTTTGGCACGAGGGGAAATGAGAGGAGATAGGAGAAAAAATTTTAATAAGTTCAATCTAAAAAATTAAAAAAATAAGTTTAAAAGTTTTTAATTAATTTTTGTTACTCTTTTATCTTACTTCCTTTTATTAAAATTTCAAAACCCCACTTCTCCAATTTTGTAAATAGAGCTTATTAAAATTTTTCTTTCCTCTCTTCCTTTTCATTTCCCTCATATCAAATAGTACCTAATATTCTTTGTAATGCCCCAAGCCCCCAATTTTTTTTTCTATTCTTTCTTTTCATCATTAGATTTTGGATAATACGAAAGGCGTTTTGATATTTTACAGCGATGGAATGATATAGTTTTGAATTTTCTATATTTAAAAAAATACTCTAACATGGTGCCCTTTTTTTTTAAAATTTATTTCCACCCATTTTAGAGAGCATTAGAAAAAGAACATTGGAGGCACTAAGCTCAAATTTTGAGCCTTTGCATCATCCATTGAAATCTTTTTTTGTCTGTCATACCGTCCGTCCCATCTTTCTATACAACTCAATTCTATATTATTGAGAAATTGTGAGCTAATGAACTATTATGACTTGTTTGAAATTATAACCATGCTTAAAGATTTCTAAAAAGAGTTTACTACCTTTGAAGCAGCTTGTGCTCACCTTGAGAAAAGCAGCATATTACTACAAAGTATTGGTATCAACATTCCACGGTTCGATTTAATTAATATCCCATAAAAATATTATTATGATATTAATAAAAGTTATATATAAATAAATTTAAACATTAAAATATAACCTGATTATTTATAAATACAATAAATAAATAAATTTAAAATTTGATCTAAATTTGTTTACAATGATAGCTTTTTATTATAGTATTTATATTTTTTTTACATTTTATCTTCTACAAATCAGGATTGTTCAGATTAAATTTTGAATATTTAAATTTGTTTATAGATATTTTTATTATTGAATATTATAATAATATTTTAAAAAATATTGAATATGGAGAGGAAAATTAGTGGAGACATTTCTTTCCCTATTTTTCTTAAATGAAAAATGACGTACGTTACAATAGAGAGGGAAGTTGAGTTAAACGGTAAAATCAGCATTCATCATGTTTGCATGGATATTCCCTTTGGTAGGTAGTTGGCCCCCAAGCTGGTTAAAAAAAAAAAAAAAAAAGGTAGTTGGTCCCCAAAAACAAAAAGAAAAATCAGAAGCGCGTGGAAGAGTGGTGAAGATTTTGATTGATATAGGCTGTACTTATATGATAATTAGATTATTTAACACTGCCACATTCTCTATTTTTTCAATCCTTTTCATGCCAACTTGCATTTATTTTGTGATTACATTCTTTTAGTATGACGGAGGCCTCATGGTAATCAGTTCTCAATATAAAATATAAAATGATGAGCATGGTCAAATGTGAAACTGAGTATTATTAGCACTAATTAAATATTCTCTCCGGTTCAGAATATATGATAAACTTTATTCATTTATGGTTATCAAGAAATTAATTCAAATCAGTTTAAAATAATAAATATGTAAGACATATATATTTTTTCAAATATACACTTACTAATAAAGAGAATAATTTAAAAAATACAATAAATAAGTCAGGAAAAAGAGAATACGGGCAAACGAAGGTGCTCTCTCTTCCCATGCCTCCTAAATCAACCACTTTTAGTAATTAATGCAGCCAACAACCAACAAAATAAAATACATATGTTAGGAGTAAAATTTAAAAAAAAAAACTCATGAAATACTTAGACAAAAATAAATATTATTTTATAAAAAAAATCAAACCTCTTTCTCCTATATCTTGAATTGGCGGAGGGAGTATGATCTCTTGGAATTAGATAACATAATAGATAAAGGCACGATCATGGATGGTTATGGAAAAGATCAATTAATGAATCCCAGCAAAACAAGGTCAACAATAAATAAACAAAGAATTTTGAGTTTTATGTCAGTTTGGGTAGGCAATACAACTTTGGTTCAAAATGTAAGTTACTTTAAAGAAAATTTTGAAATATAAGTGACTTGTAATATATTTAATGCTTATTTTTTAATTTTATCATTATTTAATTCTTATTAGAAAGAGAGAAAGAATGGGAAGGCATAAGATGATTAGTAAATATAGAGAGAAAGAAAAAGAAAAACTTTAGTAAGGGTAAAATTGAAAAACTATGTCAATTTAATGCATTTATTGGTATGTGAGAATGTGTTATAAGTGACTTTTATTGAGGATCATAATGTACTAATATATACTCCTCTTGTCCTATTTATTATAGGGTAGAGAGAAAAGAAATTTTTTTCTCAAATTTATACGATAGAGAGAAATTTTTTTATATGAATATGCAATTTTACCCTTCATTTGTTATTGTGAAGATTTTGTTTTCATAAGTTATAATATAGATTAAATATGGATAAAGTTAGAAAGTTATTGAATTTTAATATAGAGTTAGTGTAGTTTAAAATTTTTCTTGGTTTACATAAAATATGTTAGAAATGTCTTATAAATAAGATTATAAGGTTATATAGATATAATAAAAGACTTTGAATCAAATAAATTCTTGCTGATTATTTATGTCAATCGCCCCTCTACAATTAATTAAAGCTAGCTTCTGCTTCTTCTCTATGCAATTTCTGTGCTCTTCTTAGATAACAAGAGACTTCAAAGACAATATTAAACACTTATATTATTATTTTTTGCAATCAATATTAAAAACTTATCAAACTTTTGATATGTAATTAATTAATCAGAAGCTAGCGTAAAAGAGTAGTGGAGATTTTGACTGATATTGGCTGTAATCATGTGATAATTAGATTATTTAACCCTACTAAATGTTGATGCAGACTATACTCATATGATAATAAATTTTTTAATATTAATTCACTCAACTCTCCTTCTTGTCGACACATTATCACATTTACTATTTTTCAATCCTTTTCCTGCCAACTTGCATTTATTATCTTATGGTTACATTTTTTTGTTCTTTTTACTGTGACGAAGGCCTAATGGTTATCCATTCTCAATATAAAATATAAAATGACGACCCTTGTGAAATGTGCTATTTTGAAACTGGGCGTTATTCGCACTAATTAATAAGTATAACCTCGTATTAGATGTCACACATGGAGATTGAATAATTAATAAAGGCACTGTCATAGGGTGGTTGCAGAAAAGATCAATAGATTAATGAATTCAAACAAAACAAAGTCAACAATAAATAAACAAAGAATTTAGAGCTAATTACGTCACTTTTGATGCGTAATAATCCCTTTGAAGTGATTGGAAGATGCTTGCAATTAGAGGAGTTGTATTATATTGCAAATTATACAATTGAACATGCCCATGGCACATTAGCTCAAATTACAACTCTTCCTAAATTGCAAAGGTATCATATAAGCGGTAGGTATGGCATGCATGAGTATAAAGTGGATTTTTCAATATCTAGTTATTTTGATCCAAGGCACTTAAGAGTAAACTTCTCCAATAAAATATTCAAATCCTTGGTGGCAAGAGTAGAAGTTTTTAAGTTAGAAGGAGATCATTATAACAGAGGATGTACAACCATCGTTGCTGACATCTTATCGGTG